AAAAACTCTACTCTAATTAAAACAAAAAAAATAATTCACCTAAGACGAAAATATTTAGAATGTACTTTATATAACCAGTTCATCAACAGCAAATTTGCATCCAGTTTCTTACAACGTTTTACCATTCTTGGCAGATCCTCTGTTATCACAATATGGGATATTTAATCACAAAGGTGATGGAAACAAAAGCAAAAAGAATCTAAATGAAATTGGCTAGATTATTTAACCAAAATACATGAAGCAAAAATCCTAAATTTAAAATTTCCAGCGTCTCTTGTTCGTGCGCATGTGTAGTCGCATCAACGTAAACAAACCAACTTCGATTAAGATCTAAGCGGCGAAACCCTTCAGACGAAAATTTTTTCCACTTTGTCATACATCTTTCCGCCATATATATTCTTTTCCCTAGTATTTTTTTATTTATTAATCCGAGAGATTTTATGACTTAAACGTTATTTTTAGTGGATACTCATATTTGGGTAGATGCTGCATTTATTTATTAAACAGTATTTTTATTTTCGGCTGCCGGCCTGAATATTTGAGAAATCTCATTGAAGAAAAATATGCGCTCGCCAACAAGATTCGAACCTGCGTCCCCCCGCCAATGCATTATGATCCATCTGTTTTAAACCTAACATCACTGAATATTCGTTGACTCTCTTAATCGTTAGCGTTTGCTTTTGTGCATGCATGGTTATGCGCTTAAATAACAAAAAAGATTTAATATCCCCGAGGAAATTCATGAAGGTGAAAAAGCTCCAGAAATACATTTCTGCACACCTGAACTGACAAAGTTATCTCTCCCCAACGGAGAGAAGTCGAAATATCGTGCGCTGTCAGTAGAAAAAGAATAGTTTAAAAACGAAGAGAAAGGAAACGAAATAGAATTAAACTTTTTTCTTTTTTTTTCTTTTGCTTTTTGGTTCATTTATTTATTTTATTTTATTTTTACTAACATTATTTTTGACATTAAGAAAAGAAAGATTGATACGAATAAAGAAATATATAGTGAACAAGAATTAAAGATTTGAGAAAGGAATAGAGGAATTTATTTAAAAGAATAAATTACAAAAATAGAATATAAGAGAATAGAAATGTAATAAAAAATGGAATGATAAAATAAATAAAAGATTTTTTCGTGAGAAGAAACAAAGTGAGAAAATAAATAGAAGTAACATTTGAGACGTAATGATATGATCAAAGAAAACAAATGAAAGAATTATCTCATAAGTAGAATGAGAGAATAGAAAGAACTGACCGGGTTATGGAATACGTTTAAGAATAGCAGAATGAGCTCTCCAGAGAAATTCAATTACAATATCAAATAAAGGCTGAAGAACTTCTATAAGATATAACAGAATAATAGAATAACAGGCAAAAAAAAAAAAACAAGGAAATATAAAAATAGTGGTTTCATGTTGAGAAAGGGCTAGAATATAAAAATATGTAGAGACAGGGGACAATGTCGTAAAATGAACCTTTAGGAGGAAATGCATTCGTTTAATAAATTATTATATTAATAAATTATTATATTAATAAATTATTATATTAATAAATTAATATATTTAATAACAAAAAAAAACGAATAAATACAAAGAATTAAGCACAATATCACATAGATAAAAGATTCGTTTAATGAAATTATAATTAATTATTATATTTAATAAAAAAACGAATATTAAACAAAGAACCAGACACAATATCACAGAGGCAAAAGATTCGTTTAATGAAGTTATAATAAATTAATGTATTTAATAAAAACAACGAATAATATTCGTTTAATAAAACTTTATTAATAAATTAATATATTTAACAAAATAGGAATAATGAACAAACAACTATACACAATATCAGAGAGGCAAAAGATTATTTAATAAAAATTATATTAATAAATTATTATATTTAATAAAAAAAACGAATATTAAACAAAGAACCAGACACAATATCACAGAGGCAAAAGATTATTTATTATAAATTATATTAATAAATTATTATATTTAATAAAAAAAACGAATATTAAACAAAGAACCAGACACAATATCACAGAGGCAAAAGATTATTTATTATAAATTATATTAAATTATTATATTTAATAAAAAAAAAACGAATATTAAACAAAGAACCAGACACAATATCACAGAGGCAAAAGATTCGTTTAATGAAGTTATAATAAATTAATATGTTTAATAAAAACAACGAATAATATTCGTTTAATAAAATTTTATTAATAAATTAATATATTTAATAAAATACGAATAATGAACAATATTAGAACCAGGCGCAATAGAGTCAAAGAAATTGCAGAATTCGATCAAAATTTACCTTATTCCTTAATCAAAATTTACCTTATTCTTTAATCAAAATTTACCTTATTTATTAATCAAAATTTACCTTATTCCTTAATCAAAATTTACCTTATTTCTTAATCAAAATTTACCTTATTCCTTAATCATCCCGACGTCTTTTTTCATTATTGTTTGGTTCACGTCATGGTTACCGATTTGTTTATGACTAAATTTGCTGAATCAGTTTGATCTTATTACGATACAAAGAGTAATTTGGACCAAGATACCAATCTCCGTTCACTTCATCATAAACATTCGGTGGCTCTACCATGCTGACTTCTTTCAGTCTAAATTTCTAAGAGGATGTGTTGTTACTATCATACATTGATACTTTAAACCAGTTTCTTCGCCATTATTGACAATACCACAATGTTTCTGTCTTGGTAATAACAATATTTATATTTTTTTAATCATTTCAAACCAAGCAAGGCAATAAAGCCGCTAAGAAACAAGAAGGTTAGTTAGTATTAAAGAATTTGAAAAAAAAACATTATTAAGGTGTGGGGACAATAAAAGCAGAGGAATCAAGAAGACAATAAATAACGATTGGCATTGCATTTAATTGTTCGGCGATCAAAGTTTTCTGGAAAGCATGAAGTCGGAAAAGAATTCCACAAGCGAAAAGTGCGAAAGAGAACTTACGCGTACATTCGACAGTAAGATGATGAGACCTTATTGCCAATCTAGTACTGCGTTTAAAATCATAAAATCTAGGTACCTTAACGGAACGTTCATCTGAATAATTAACATAAAAGTATTTAGAGAAAAGACACAAGGAAGCTACATTACGGCGGTGGGAAATTGACTGAAGCCGAGATGCCGGGTCAAGGCTAATAACATTGTCGATTATTCTTTTGACTTTATAAAGAATTTATAAATATAAATTGCGACCATTTGTGGCAGCAAACTTCAAAGCATAGACGAATGGTAGACTTATAAATATGTAAGATAGATTCTGAAGAGAAACTTTGTCAAGCACGACACAGTGAACCAACTTTCTTTGAAGAGACCTAACAGTTAACTCAATATAACGTTCCCACTTTATATCAACAGAAAATGTTATCCCGAGAACGCACAACGAGTCACTCTCCTGGGGGCTAGCATCAGCCATACTTATATAAAGCAGAATGTCGTCTCTCAGAAGATTAATAGAAAGAAGTTCCGTTTTGGAGACCTTAAAATTATTACACTATCCCTTGCCCCAGTTGACAGGAGATTGTAGGACATTTTTTTTACATCCGTTGCCATTTTGACCTGATCGAATCGATCAGATTTACTATTGAAACAGGAGTAAATAGTTTAGTTTTAGCACCAGCATTGATATAAAGTTGTTTATTTTTTTTCTGTATAAAATTATGAGTCGAAATAATATTACATAATATTAAAAGAGACTCACTCGTATACCGACGGTGAGGTGACATAAGGTCGGGTTTAATGTAAGGCACCCGAGCTCATACAACCGGGCCAAAAATTACCCAGCCCCAGCAACCGTCGTTTGCGAGAGCATCGTTATGACTAATGACCCCATTCTGTAGTGCTATGAGGTGGGTACTGCGGGAAGCTGTTGGTCGGGATCGGGCACCTCTCAGTATTTTCAAACTGAGACATTATTCAACTACCTAACCTATGCCAGGTAAGTATAAAGTAAAGTAAAATAATATTAAGTCAATGTGCTACATTTAATAACGAACTGTTCACTCCGACATCCAGTGTGAAATATATATGGCCGCTCCTTGTCATTGTAGAGGGATTACTTGTCGTAGTGGTTCTAAGAGCGAAGCTGTCTGGAGCTGCAAACTGTGGGGTTACCGATTGTGGTAAGGTCAATGAGGGAAGACCAGGCCGAAAGCGACCAATTCCTAGAAGACCCCAAACGGCGGAATAGGCAAAGATCTACACGATCTCAACGGCCAAGCGGGCGGAAGAGAGTAAGGCCAGTCGGGTTGGCATAATGAAAGCAAACCAAGCATCCGACAGGTTTGCCAGATCTCAGATGTCTTGATCCCCTTTGAGGCGCGTGGGAGGCGCTTCCGTCTGAGTCCTTAACGCAGAGTTGTCTACCAAAAAACAAATTCCTGCTAATGGCCACGTAAGTCATTCTTTGATTCACAGCTATATCAGCCACCCGGGAGAGAAAGAGAATAGAAAAAAAAAGATGGCGATCCCTATTCCCGGACACTAGCTGGTGCCGAGAACAACTTTCAACCAGTTTATTCGTCTTATTTGATTATATACCAATGTTTCTGTCAAAGTAATTATTTCCCTCTCAAAAGGTATTAGGAAAAAAAAGGGCAGAGAGAAAACAGTAGTATAAATAGATATTAAACAGGAATAAAGGACAGGAGTCTGTGAAGAGCCATGATAGTCCTCCCTTATTTTTGAATTTTTGTTTTTTTATTGATTCATTTTTTATGGGTTATCAACATTTTGCATGTTACTTAAAACCAGTATAGTTTTTAGATTTTTTTTATTTTTTATTTAGAGATACATAATGGAATAGTCATACAAATTTTGCTAATTAACCCATAGCTGGGTAGAAAATGTGGATTTATACCATTTCACAGTGGTATTTCCGCGTTAAATGAATATAACAAACCCAACTGGATTAGAACTTGTGCTCACTGATTAACAATTTTGAGCCATTATCCATCATACAGCTGGTATTCCCAAGCGGTCACCCATCTAGGTACTGACTAGACTCAACGTTGCTTAACTGTGGTGGTCGCCCGGGAACTAGTATTTCAACGCAATGTGGCCGTAATCTCTTCCTCGTCTACTCTTCGTCCGTTACCAAAATAATTAAATTACATCACCTTTGTTTTGATGTATTCAGTTCGATGCTCATGACTTTCCCTCTCTTCCTTGTTGTCAAATTAAAGTTTTCTTTTTTAATCCGACAATGAAACTTATAATCTAGGCCGGTTGATATTAATTTCCCTGTATGAATAAATACAACACAGGGGTATTAACTGAAATACCTAAACTCAATTAAAAATAAAGTTTATAGCAATAACATTCGGTCATGACTCTAACCGTGAGTCCTTTTATCTAGCTTTCCTTTGTTACTATGATACAATGAGTTGTCTGAACCAAAATTATTATCCTTTATTGCTTTTGTCGGAATATTTCAATGTCTGTGTTTTGTATTCTTCTTCAAAGGTCTTTCTCATTTGATAAGCCTCTGCGAAATGAGACCATTTATTTGATCCACGCTTCCATGAGATCATTACTGTTTCCATTCATTTAACTGTCAGTTCCAGAAGGCGTAGCTGTCAATTGTTTTTCTGTAGAGTTTTTGTTTTTTTTTGCTATTATTTTTTAATTTTTTTATTTATTGCTTTTGCACGAAAGGAAACCATTTTACTTAACCAGATAAGCGCGAAGTTTCAAATGAGAAAAAAAAAACAATCTTTACGGAAATGTATCAATTTGTTTTCCTTTTTTATCCATTTAATGATTTTATTTATTTATTTTTGTGGAGTCATGATTTGATTTGTCTTGCAAATGTTCGTGTGGTAGTTTCTCGTTGCTTCCCCCACACTGACTTTATTGAAATACTACCTATAGTTAGTTAGACGTTAGCTAATTCGAGTTGTTCAGCCTTTTGATAAGTTTTATTTTCCGTCATTCAATGTGGCAAACCGCCCTCATGGAAACCTACAAGAAGAGGCGTAGGAGTATCACATAATGTAGTGAATGCTAAAAAGTCTAACACAAGGTAGTATTAGAAAGCAAGAATTGAAAAAGTAGTATGATATAGTAATTGGTCATTAGCAAAAGAGCAGCTCAAGATGTGATCTACATATTGGGGATGGCAAAATTAAACAGGTTTAACAATTTTTTCTTCTTGTTTAATAATTATTTATTTGTGTACAGCTATGGTTTGATTTATCTAGAGAATGATAATCACCGTGCTGATAACAAATATGGCACCAGTTTGTTTACACTGCGCAGATCAGTACGAAGATTTCAGTGATTGCGCAGGTCAGTTGCTGAAAATAGAATATACAGAACAGGTGAACATCGAGGCTCATCATTAAATATTTCTACAACAGATTATGAAGAAGAACGGCTTGGGAAATTTAATACTCTCAACAGGTATCGAGAAAGGAAGGATAGAGGGGAAAAGAGACAGTTAATATTCAGTTATTATAAATGGATATTAAGCAGAGATCAACAACCGGTGTTTATGGAACGCCATGATAGTTCCGCCCCCGTTTTTGTTTTTTGTATTTTTATTGATTGATTCATTTTTCATGGGTTATCAATATTTTGCATGTTACTTAAAGCCTGGATTTCTTTATTTTTTTAGATTTGTTTTTTTTAGAGATAAATAATGGATTAGTGATACAAGTCTTGTTAATTAACCCATAGCTGGGGGGAGAAAATGTGGTTTCATACAATTTACCAGCAGTAGTTCCGCGTTAAGTGAATATTACGAACCCAACTGAAATGCACTCCGATGAAAAATTTCGAACCATTATCCATTGCACCACTCGCACATCCAAGCTTACAGCAACTGGTATTCCCAAGTGTTCATCCATCTACGTACTGACCAGGATCAACGTTGCTTAACTGTGGTGATCTTCTGGGAACCGGTGTTTCAAAATGATATGGCCGTAATCTCTTCCTCGTTTTCTATCGTACCACCAAGATAGTTAAATTACATCACCTTTGTTCTGATATCTTCAATTCTAAGACACGGTTTTTCTTGTCTTCCTTCCTGTCAACTTAAACTTTATTTTTAATCCGACTATAAAACTTACGAACTAAGCCGGTTGATATTAATTTCCTTGTATGAATAAATACAAAACAGGTATATCAACTCAAGCACGTAGTCTCAATTAAAAATAAGGTTTCTAGGAATAATTAACATTCTGTCATGTAGCTCACCATTAGTCCTTTTATCGCGCTTTCCTTTGTTGCTTTGTCTAGGATGTCTTCCAGTGGTGGCGTATAAAACGTTAGTTGTGATCAATTACAGATCTAGTGGCATTTTCACAGTTAGTTTTCCGGTTATTGTGGTGATCCTAAGAGTGAAGAATATCCTGTAAAGATCAAGTCGGTGATAAAAACTGCGCTCAAGTTTGGCGCCTTTCATAACGACACTTACACTTAGTAAAATTATAAATCCTACTTGCTCACTTCCTGCTTG